AGCTTTATATATTAGTCTACTTTTTACTATAAAATTAAATTTAGAATTATTTTAGAACTAGTTTAGAACTAGTTTTAAAATTAAGTTTAATTCTATATAGAGAAGCTTAAATATATATATAGTAATATTAATCTACTAATTTATATATATACTAATTATTTATAGTACTAACTTCTTTAAGATAATTTTAAGCTATATATAAAATTTAATCTTTAAAGTAATCTACTTTTATAAAACCTTTAAAGGTAAATATAAAACTTTTAGAATAAAGAAATTAATAGTAGCTAGTATTTTTATCTCTTCTAAATAAGTTACTATCTCTTTAAGCTATAAGTATAACTTATAGAACTTTCTATTAAAAAAGACTTTACTTACTCTTTAAGCTATATAGTATTATTAGCTATAAAGCTTATAAAAAGTAAATTATTAAAGCTTATTAAACTACTCTACTTAATTAAGTAAATTAGTAAAGCTAATAACTTTATATTTAAAGAGAGTATTATAGTTAAAAGTAAATTAAATATACTTAAAGTTAGTAATTATAGTAAATTAAATTAAGTCTTATTTATATTCTCTTATTATAAATATAGAGATAGAAATATATTTAAACTAATATGTAGCTATCTTTAATATTTATTTATATATATTATTTTTATAAAATAAGTTAAAGACTATATATAATATAGTATATATTTAAGGTAGAAGTTAAAATAATTTAGCTTACTTAGACTATATTTATTTAAGCTTAAAAGAGATATTATTATTAAATTATACTATAAAGCTTAATTAAATATATTTATTTATTTATTACTTTTTATATAAAAGTTTATTATTAATATTTATTAAGGACTAGCTTTACAAGCGACTGCGTGTAAGCATTACTAGTATTAACTATAAACTTAAGGAGAGAAAAGAGGGAAAGAAGAAGCTCTCTATCTCTCTTTTTCTGCTTATTATATATATATAGGTTTAATATGCATTTAAAGCGTATTTAATAAGGCACTAATATAGTGCTTTATATCTACTTAAGCTTACAGCTTAAGTCTATTATATACTCTTCTTCTAGTAGGTTTATCTATATTACTACTATATAGCAGAAATAGATATATAGTATTAATCCCTCTAGTAACTATACGTTCCTACTCTTTGTTTTTTATATATAGTATATACTTAATATACCTCTACTTTACAAACAATTTAGCAGCTCTATACTGCTTATTCTTATTGTTTTCCTTTTAATAAGTATTATTAACGCTCTCTTTATACTACTAAAAATTTTTATTTCTAAAGATTACTATTACTGCGCCTACCTCTCTTCTTAATTTGCCTCTATTTTGCCTCTATTTTGCCTTCTACTACTTTAAGCATAATACAGTATATACTATACAGCTAATTTAGTTTTAGCTAGGCTGCTGCTAGCGCGCTCTCTCCCCTGCCTCTACTGCCTCTACTATAACGCTCTAATGCTTACTATATAGGCAAGTATGCTATAGAAGGCAACTTTAATAATAATAACCTCTCTAATAAAGAGGAAGTTTTAGAAATATATATACTATATTAGCGCAAGCTTATTAATACTAGCTCTACTAGTTGTATTTCTAGCTCTACTATAGTCTATAAGTAGTGCTATAAAACCTATAAGAGGTGCGTCTAGAAGGCGCACCTTTATACTTTAAACCTTAAGCTGCACTACTAATAAAAGAAAGTATAGCAAATTATAAATACTAGCAGGCATATTATATCTACTATATATAAAAAGTTAAGTAAGAGCTCTAGTATATATACTAAATTTTCTATATAGTTTAATTCTACTACTAAAAAATTTAATATATTATTAAAGTAAGCCTATATTGCCTCTAGTTCTATTTAGTCTTTATATATATTGCTTAATTTAAATTATAATTTCTTTACTAAATATATTTTAAAGAAATATATCTTTAATTTATTGATAAAATAACTTAAGTAATTAATTTAAAGAAATAAAATATAAAAGCTAAGTAAAAAAGTAAAGTTAAAAAAAGTAAAGTTAAAAAAAGTAAAGTTAAAAAAAGTAAAGT